TAAAATTGGCAAGTGTCCATTTAAGCAAACTCTTGATCCAAGGGAGGACGGTCTTGGAGAAAGGAATTGCAAATTAATGAGGTTTTTGATGTGTTATGCTCGCTGCTCTACCACTTCATTGTTATGTAGCAGCATTCAGATGTAATATCCTTCGGTTCATCAACTTATGGTGGACAGCGTTTTTATATATCATTTTACAACCAGGTGAGGCAGCCCCTGGTCTTTTCAGGATGCCAGATTTTGAGTGTACATAAAGGAAATGTTAATCTACGCGATCTAGGCAGGCTTCGCCACGATCCTTCCATCCCTCCTTTCCATTCAATCGACAATCTGCGATTGTTTGCGTTCATAGCAAACGACTGTTTCCTGGGCTGCGCCAGATGCTGCAGGCGTAACATTCCCCGTCAGGTAAGCAGACAGTGATAATAGATGCTATGTGTACCCACCAATATGAAAATCCACCATCCACTCAGCCTTAGTTTTTAATCCTACTGACCCATGCTCACACTCTCGCGCGACCCTCAAACCAAAAAAAAAAAAAAACACTCCGAAATACCTCTCGCAAGCCCATGGTTTCCTGATCGTTGTTGCTGGCCGCAGCGGCTGCCGGCCCTTACACGAACGTGCTAGCACCCTCTTGAAGACTTACTCTAAAAACATCCTGCATTTGAAACACTTGAGTACCACATGACTGACGCATGAGGAGTAAGTGTAGTTCATCATATCATGTAAGGCGAAACCACAACGAGCTACCCTAACGGTTCAATCAATGTACAGAAAAGGCTCCATAACATTCTCTTTACTCGGTTTTGGTGTTCGGAGGGTCTCTGGCACGACTGTTGACATTGTTATAAGAACAAGTATGATCAACTACGCGCCAATGATTATATTTTAAACATCATAAGCCAGCCAAAATGTACCACGAGCTATCGGCCTCTAGCCGTATACGTATTGTCCAGAATGGTAGATGGCTAAAACCACCCGGAGATGGTTTGGGACCGAAAGCTCGTGTGATTTTGATTGCTTTTATTTTGGCATTGTGATCATTAGCGTACAGTTAACCATATGCTTTCTTATAGCAATGTATACTTGGTTAAGTCAAGCCTTGCCTAACACGCCGAACTCTTCTTTCGGGGTTTCGCAAAATGCCTACAAATAATGTACAGGTAAGGCAAATAGTATTATAATGGTGTCCACTAAAAACACCGACGAGCTCTTGGCATTTCGAGCATTGCCTGAAATACTCAACCAGATAACGTCATACCAGTAGTTTTGTAAAAGTAGCGTGAAACACCGGCATTGTATGAAAGGCCTGTTGTTTTGCCTCACATGCTGAACTACGCCAGGTGCCTTGAAATATCCATTTTGGACTTCACGAACCTGTGCTGAAGGAGCTGTAAACGGACAGGTTAAAGAACTAGGACTACATCAAAAGACAGAACGGAGCTTATGGTACAATAATTATATGAAGCATACCTATCCCAAAGCATTCCAAAGTAAAGCATCCCCATTCGTCGTACGGGCGGGAAGATATGTTGTTAAGCACCGCATGCAGCAGTTCTGACCAGCGCGGCTTGGTGGCTGGTAAATTGGGCCACTAAGTATACATGTTTATGACAGCACAAAAATGGGCAAAACGTAAACTGAATGAGAAAAGTGAATGGACCTGCTAACCCGCGCCTAGCCTGTGCGGGGAGTTGACTTTCCTTTTAAGGTTCTTCGAGCACAGGTAAAAACCGAACGCTCACAGCGGCACAACATTTTCAGTAGCTGTTTATCTATCAACCTGACACCCTTGCACAACTTTGACATTTTCATATGCCAAAGTCAGTGACCTAGGTTGGGTCAAAGAGGTCAGCATGTGAACAATTTTGACAACACATTACGTTGTTGTGGGTCACTTGCCATCGTTCAAACTTGCTATAGTAAAAAAAAAAACATGATAGTACTTACAGCTCGCATATTTTTTTTTAAACAAACGGTATGAGTGATCCGAAATCAAGTTAATTTTTCCTATTTTTTGTAAGCGATGCAGCTTTGTACATATTTTTGTAGTTTTGGTGTTAGTATATGGAGAAAAGAGTACTGACATGCATGATTTGTACGGATTTTGTAGTTTTGGCGTTGGTGTATGGGGAAGAGATTACTAATTGACATGCATAGCCATCATATGACGATAAAGCAGGTGACCTTGTCATAGGTCATGATCTACCCCTATGGATACCTGCCGCAAAACACGTGCTAAGTTCCAAGTGGGCAGTATGGCGAAATATTTGTTTTTGTCACGCCGAGTGCAAATACTCCAGTGGAGCATGCTGCGGTATTATTGTAATGCATCTTGACGTCACAAAAGGTGACGTGAGTATATTAAAGGTCATACGAGGTCGTCAAAGGTCAATGGCCTATGTTGTCGGTAGCAGAGAAACTAGATGAACAAGTGTGACGCGTATAACCACATCCTTATCGTATCTGTGAAGCTGACGACGCGTAATTTCATAAATCAACGTGTCCGTTTTCAGTTGATTACAAGTACATTGCGAAACGTCGAAGGGAGTATGTACAATGTAGACAACGGCTACGCGATTTTGAGCGCCTGTAGGTGTACAAAATGCTATTTCTGACCACAGTAAAGATTGCACTGGCCACATAGACCCAGTTAGGACCTCAATTTTTGTTCACTAGAATGGTTTACAAATTTGACCTAGGTTAGCCTCAGATGACCTCTAAGTCACGTCAAAGCTGTGCTGTTTTTTTCTGGAATACCTTTATCCTAAAGATGCACGTCATGAAATAAATTTAGCCAGAAGCACATTGTGAAGAAGTGTCGTTCTTGCAGGCTACTGGTTGACCAACTTTAAACGGTGACTTGATGTGACCTGACCCTTGTGGGGATACTGGTTGGTAATAATAGAATTCCCTCAGTCGCAACGCTTATTCCTGTGCTCTTAATATCCTTCTTGACGTGTTCACAAAGGTTTTAATTACATCCATAACACCGACCGCTTTTAGCGTTTTGTGACCTCTGACGACCTTACGTTTGATCGAAGATAAAAAATTTGATGCGCATTCTTCATGATTTGGCGAGACCTTCATAGGGGCATCTTCGTTTTTCTCATACGGCATATGTAAATTAGAAATCTCAGGGGAGACGGGAACTCAACTTCCCCCGATTGGGCGCGGTTGTCTCATACCCCCGGTCGGACGCAGGTGGACATTGCTGGCCCCCACTTTGAAAAGTGTGCGTGGGGGGGGGAGGGGCATTGCCATTGAGCACCCTGCTCCTACGCCCATAAAGATACCAACTAAATGAGAGAGATATTATTTCCCTGCCGCCTCAACTGCACTAGTAGTTACTCATCCGGTAACCATCAAAATAGTTGATCCCAACAAGTCAAAAATAAAAACCAGGATTACTGATTCAGTTTGAAAAAGTCAGCTTTTTATTGAAAGAGCACAAGTAGTTACCGCTACGAGTGCAACATATAATGCGCTTGACGGTAACCAGCCACCTCGCCCTGCGCCTCAGAGCCCACTCCCGCCCCCTGGCGGAGGGCCGCCGCGCTGCAGCAGTGTCATCCTTGAGCCGGCCGCCCCCGGCCCGGCCCATACTGTCCCCCTGGCGCCACCGCGGCGCCCGCACCACTGGCGTTGCCTTCACCGCCGGCCGGCGGCGGCCCACACCGGACGGCCCCTCCCCGGCGCCGGCGCGGCGCCCACGCCTCACCACACTCGCTGGTTTGTGCAGCGGTACAGGGATGTAGTTTCCTCTTCAGTGGAGGCGGGGAGGGGACAGCCCCTCACCATAACCCTTGGGCTCCAGCCCAAAACTTTGAGTGTAAAATGAGCCAAATCCGAGGATAAACCAGTGAATTTGGTGAAGTGTTGGTGAATTTCGGGGAGTTGGAGTTATTTTTTACTGCTCAGCCCCGCCCCCCCCCCCCCCCCAAGTTCATTTCGCCGAACTACGGCCCCTGCTGGGATACGATGGTTGTGTACTTCTGCTATATTTGTGTCATAGTGTAATGTTTTCTGCTGATGTGGTGAGCGCTTAAGTCAGTGACACCCAACTTTTTCGCTGTGAAATTATGCCGTTCAGAAAAGTTTCATGACCGCACGCTGAGGTTCAGGGCTGGCGCAACAGGCACTTCTTAGTGTAAAACCAGATCCCAGAAGTGTTTCCGTTAAAAAGATTTCGGCTACACCACTGAAAAAGTACCAGCTGGAAACGCCATTACGCCTAGAAGAAATTCCAAACATGGTGTGCAAGACCACATGTGCCATGTTAGATAAATGCATTTGATGCGGGTCGCAGAGCATTTCATGAGTTCCTGCCATCGCATCGTCTGCCAGCACTCTTCGCCGAGTTGTTCGCCTTCTTGGTGAGATGTTCTGCATCCAGACATCACGATGCCAGTTTGCACTCGTTTCGCAACCCAAAGCACATTATGGAGATGATCTTTATGGTCTTCCTGAATCGCAGATTGCATCATCCCAGCTGCATAATTTTGCCACGTGATTGTCATTATTCAAGGCTGCAGCGCAAAACCTGGCCGGGAACAGCTCGGTAAGGACATTTTGTTCCGGCTGAGGTCGTAAGTTAACCTCGGTGCGGACAGAAGCAAGATTGTGAGATGTGGTCAGCGAATGGATGACGGAATCCCGGGGACGTCAAAATCCCACATAACGGGTTTCGTCGTTGCCAGGCGTTAGCAACAGTTGTCAAACAATGGTGCTTTGAATAATATAGCCTAAATGGCTGCCGTTCGTCGCCTTCGGCAAAAGCTTGTGTGTTTTGTGTTGTGGTTTCACGTAGGATGCTTTCTGCTCACCCTTGCTGCTTTTGCATCATCTTTGATGTCATGCATCGTTGTAATTCCATCGCCGAGCACCGCAGTGATCCCGTGTTGTTGTCGTGACTAGTCAGACGATTATGCATTGCCCCATCGGGAATTACCCGCATTTTTCGTGGAAAGGGCAAAGCGTAAGCCAATCATCCGAAGAAAAATCAGCTCACGTGTGTTGCCGCATTTCTAGACTCTGGCTTCATACATGTTGCAAGAGTAACCGTTTCCGTGCTTGTACACAATGGTAATGAAACAGATTGCTTAGAGCATTCGCCATCTGGTCATGTATCGGTACTAGTAATTTATTTTCATTGCAGGAGGCACCAGCTGGTAGAAGGTACAAGTTGGTGAGTACGCCACATATTCACAAAGCGTGTTAATGATCCGGTCTCATCTCTGCGAATGCTGCTTCTTTCACTTACGAAGATTGGACGCACAACCAGGCGGCCAGTTCTGTTACTGGTAAATCTGAAGCAGCAGGTTGTCGAAGAAGCTGTCCAGGTTGTTTCCCCTGCCGGAGATGACACGCGAGCCGTCCGCGGAGGTCACGGCGGAGACCCTCCTGCCTCCGAGGCGTGTGCTGATGACGGAAGAGCCGTCAGCCGACCTGACCACGCTCACCCGCCTGCCGTCAATGATGGTGTTGAAGACGGCAGAACCGTCTCTGGATCGCACCGCGCTCACCCTGTTGCCTCCCTGTCGGGAATGGATCACTGAAGAACCATCCGCGGATTGGACAGAGCTGAATCGCTCTCCACCCCGTCTTGAATTGATGACTGAAGATCCATCCCCAGACTGAACAGAACTGAACCTGTTACCACCCTGTCTAGAATTGACGACTGAAGACCCGCCCCTAGACTGAACGGAACTGAACCTGTTACCACCCCGTCTGGAATTAATGACTGAAGATCCGTCCCGAGACTGAACAGAACTGAACCTGTTCCCACCCCGTCTGGAATTAATGACTGAAGATCCGTCCCCAGATTGAACGGAACTGAACCTGTTCCCTGAACCCTGTCTGGAGTTGATGACTGACGATCCATCTCCAGACTGAACGGCACTGACCCTGTTCCCATCTCGTCTTGAGTTGATGACTGAGGACCCGTCCCCAGATTGAACGGAACTGAACCTGTTCCCTGAACCCTGCCTGGAATTGATAACTGAAGACCCACCCCCAGATTGAACAACACTTACACGATTCCCATCCCTTCTGGAATTGATGACTGAAGATCCGTCCCCAGACTGAACTGAACTGAACCTGTTCTCACCCTGCCTGGAATTAATGACTGACGATCCGTCTCCAGACTGAACGGCGCTGACCCTGTTCCCATCTCGTCTTGAATTGATGACTGAGGACCCGTCCCCAGATTGAACGGAACTGAACCTGTTCCCTGAACCCTGCCTGGAATTGATAACTGAAGACCCGCCCCCAGATTGAACAACACTTAAACGATTCCCATCTCTTCTGGAATTGATGACTGAAGATCCGCCCCCAGACTGAACTGAACTGAACCTATTCTCACCCCGCCTGGAATTAATGACTGACGATCCGTCTCCAGACTGAACGGCACTGACCCTGTTCCCATTCCGTCTGGAACTGATGACTGAAGATCCGTCCCCAGACTGAACGGAACTGAACCTGTTCCCTGCACCTTGTCTGGAGTTGATGACTGACGATCCATCTCCAGACTGAACGGAACTGAACCTGTTCCCGTCACGTCTGGAATTGATGACTGAGGATCCGCCCGTAGATTGAACAGCACTTAAATGACTTCCATTCTGTCTGGAATTGATGACTGAAGACCCGTCCCCAGACTGAACCAAACTGAACCCGTCTCTCCGCTTTCGCGCAGCCACCGCTGTTGCACTGTCTTCAGCGCGCACTGAACCGTATCCCCCCTTCTCACGGGTGCCTGTGACAGGTTCTGTTCTCGGCGCAGCCGGGGCTACTTCGCTACCATCTGTGCCATCGTTGCCCGGCTGGCTGCCGCTGGCTTCGATGTAATGGGCTTCCTGTTCTCGGCTTTCGGTGGCTGCCTCCGGTCCAGAGGAGGCCCCACTGTTCTCCTGTCTGCCGACACTAGATGAGCCTATGTACACGTTCTGGGCTGATGGTCCGTAAGTGACGATGCTGCCGTCTCCCAGCACCACTACTCTAGATGGGCTGCCGCTTCTGATCACGCTGCCTTGGCCATTTATGACGACGAAGCCGGCACGATAAGGGCCCGCTGCTCCGTCAATGTTGACCGCAGGGATGTTGACAGGAGGAATCTCGGGGATTTTTACTGATGGAATCTTCGGAACAATCACAGGTGGGATTTTAGGGATGTGTACAGGCGGAATCTTTGGGATATGTACAGGCGGAATCCTCGGGATTTTCACTGGCGGAATTGCTGGAATGATAACGGCTGGAATCCTTGGGATATTCACAGGCGGAATCTTCGGGATATGCACCGGCGGAATCTTCGGGACATTGACAGGCGGAATCTTTGGGACATTGACAGGCGGAATCTTTGGGATATTCACGGGCGGAATCTTAGGGACATTCACGGGTGGAATCTTGGGGATTTTCACTGGTGGAACAGCTGGAATTCGAACCGGTTTGATGACAGGAGCATCACCTGGGGAATTGCTATGGTGGAAGACCTGGGGCGCATAATTGCCAACAGATATAACGAAGTTGCCGCCGTTTGACATGGTGACGGTGCCGCCGCCGGCGAAGGTGACCGTGCCGAAGCCAGGGTTACCGGCCACGCAGCGAAGCGTGGTTCCCCCATCAGCTCTGGAAGTTCGAGAGCAGGAGACGTCCCCTTGCACTGAAATCCCCGCCGTGGCTGAGAATCGAGAGCCACCGGCGACGGCACGCCCCGCTGAGATGCGGGTGGGGGCAGAGGAAGTCGGTGCTGCCAGTAGCAACGTGAGCAGCGACATCTTCGCCAAAGGCGACTTCATGATGCTCTGCCAACAGAGCAGAGAAATACTATGACGGGATAGGCAGTCTGGTGTCTCAGAAACGGCATGGGCGTGGCACGTCTACTGACATACCTTTGATTCACAGTAGGTACGTCAGTAAATCAGCAAAAGGTCATGGGAGATCAGTCACCGCTATGAACTAGATGGTCGGGTTCGGCGCCCATAAGTAGAAAGATCAACTCAGTACGAGTAATGAAGGGCTTAGGATGACAGCGAACACTGCATGACAGTCTGTTTTAACTGGGGTTGGTTATGCCGGTCAGTGGCGGAAAACCCAGCCTCCCAGACACGGACTGGCACGGTTGCCCCCTTCACACTCCGAGCCAGCCGCCTGGTCACCCGGGGAACCCGGGCCTGGCGAGGTGCACGATCGACCGGTCGGCCAGTATTGCAGCTGGAGTGCACAGCAGAGATAAACGTCACATATTTCAGTACAGGTATGCCATACTCCACCTCGCAGGCTACAGTGCAGGCGCAGTACAGGCACCCGCAGGTCGCAGCACAGCGACAGCTCACGTCCGGTGCAGCTTTCCGCAGCCCGTGACGGCCAGAGCGCTACTCACGGTGCGCGCAGGTGCCAGACCTGATGTGTCACCCGGTGACCTGCGGCGGGGGTCTCGCCTGGCCGACTGGCCGACGGTGCACCCTGCCAGGCTGGAGCCTCCCGGGGTGGCCAGGCGGCTGGCGCAGCTCGTGACGAGAGCGTCCGAGCTCGTCCGTGACCGGGCGGCCGGGTTTTCCGCCACTGACCGCCAGCCGGAGCCGGCCCGTGATGTCAGACGGCCGCGGCACGCGACGGCGGCCGGGGCCGGCTGCGACGGTCGCCGGCCGAGCCGCGCGCCGCTGCCGGCCCAAGGTCAACAACAGCCGGGCACGCCGGGTGTCTCGTGTTCACAACAAGCAAATGCTTTCGGCCTCGTTTCGCATCTTGAAGGCGTTCATGGACGATTTTGGATGCGAGAGTGATGCTGCGCTCGAATCTGTGATAAGTTTTGTATGACGAGCTCACCAGAACTCCACGCCTGGGAGTGCAAGTGCTGAGGGAGGGCCACTGCTAGTGCTGAGCCAGTTTGGAAGCCGAGCTGTCGAAACACGGGATCGAGGCATGCAAGTCCTGCCACACCCTCCCCTCCCGCTGGGGACGCCCTCAGTTTGATGATGTTTACGGTGGCCTGAGTTCTGTGGCACGTTCCGTCTGGAAAGGGTGTTTTAAATAAGTGTTGCTCCAAAAGTGAGGAGATGCACTCTTACAGTCAAAATTATCAGGTTGTATTGTGCACAGACGCTTGTAAGAACCCTCACTGCAACCAGAAAACATTATATTTTCACACGAACAACAATACATTCATATAAAAACAGCAAACGAACGATATCAGTTATGGGTGACAGACCAAACCGGGCTTTTATGTTCCCTGAATACGCGCTACAGTGTTGCGGCGATGTCTTGATGCTGTTTGGTAAATTCCAGCACCATGCTAGCAGGCTCTCTTGGAGTTGGATGCTGCGACCATGGCTTCATACCATGGTTCTTCATTCGCCGACAAAGAGCTCCTTAAAAAATAAAAGACTACCCAGTAGATTCGAAATAACCCATTGGAACGCAACACAACGAAGTATTTCATACTGAGTAAAGCTCGAGAGTTTCACGCATCTCCGATAAAAAACAATTCTGGACAAAGCCGCATTGCTACGGACACAGTCGTCCTTCGGAGATGTCATAAAAGCGGACGGAGGATTATATCAAGATTTCGCTTGAGCCCTTTGAAAGCATGAATTTCCGGGGTGAGAGCCCCAGAGCCAGAGCTAAGCAGTGCGTGCTGCGTAAACCTCCACACCCTTACCCTATCGTGAAATGTCAGATGAACGGTAGAAGCTTTGCGGTGAAAGCGTAACACACCGCTGGGTACGGCCCAACCTGCCCTATGATGTCACCTGACCTTTACTGCGGTCGTTGCCACTGGCCACAGGCTGTCCCATTCAGTGACATATAGCACGACAAGTCAACCTTTGAGTTATGCAAAAAATGCCATGTTGAAAGGTTACAAATGACGAACAGACTTTACAGCCCCATTTTGTACTTTTTTTTGCTTAATCAAGCTGGACGCAAAATCAGCGAGGCTCATTTCCCTCGCAGTGCATGGCGGTAAAGCAATGAAGCTGGCGACTGTCCAAACGTGCTATAATTGTCACGAAACTAATGCACATTTTGACGTTATTGCATACAACTTTTGGTACATATGAAAGCAATTATGTCGCTTACAACGCCAGCACCATGGCATGACAAAAAACCAGACACCATATACAGACACCATGTACCAGACACCACTGCCGGCATAGCTTCTTCCCCTGGTCCGGGCCATTATGTAATCCGTTCCCTTTCTTTCGCAAAATAGGTAGTTTGTGTTCCGATGCCATAGAATCTCGCGCAGAACACCCGTCGCATGACTGGCCCTTCGCCCTGCTGGTCACCACACCTCAAAATGGGCCCCCAATACCCGCAATAATCAGGAGACAACTAGTTGCGCTAAAACTCAGGAATCCTGAACTTTGTACGCTTTAAGGCTTGAAACTGCTCTTAAGGCATATAGGTGTAACTTTTCGGATGCATAATAGAAGGCTTGAAGTGTCCGGCAGCAGGCAGGACCGTGCACCACATGTTTATGACGAATGACCAATCGCGTAACAAATCTGGTTGGGCGGGTGTGTCCATAATCTTGCCAGTTCCCGAGATATGGCCGTACAGCCTGGCGAGTGTCTGGAATTCCCGGAGATGGCCTGTCTTTCAAACACCTGCAATGCCCAAAGCTCGGTACAATAAACGTTTTCAGGTTTATTCAGAGATGTCGAAGACTCTGGAAGGAGATCAGTAACGTAAATGTCTTGTCATGAATGTCGTAATGCCGTAGTATAAAATAATGTCATATACCATTGCTCCTAGCAGAGTCAGACAAAGAGACAGCTAGCTGAGAGAAAACAATAACAGATATATGAAAATTACACTGAAAGCCATTTCAAAAGAGTGGGAGCTATCTTTTGTTTACTTTTTTACATAAAACTCATAAGGTTGAAACGTTTGTGGAGGATTATGAAAGATCGAACGTGCGATTTGTGAGATTAGCTTGGAACAACCTGTACAACTGGCGGAACCTTTTTAGAGTGCCTCTAAGCTTCTGATACCTATGCTGAGTATTTTATTCACCTTTCTATGACTTACAGTGTATGGCTGGCCTCCATGATGAAAGCTGACAATTGTTGTCGGTGGCAAAAACAATGCAGGGTAAATTAACAGGATTGCTCCACATTTAAAGATATTGAGGCGAAGCATCATGATTGTTAGATGAGAAGGACTGTTCAAAATAATAAAAAATTCACTGAGTATTACATATGGTCCTCAAAATGCCATCGTTTCATCATGTCGTGGAACGCTTTTGTGACGTCAGAGTCGCTGTCAACGTTGACACGTCAGAGTCCACCGCTGTAACGAACGGCATGATTCACTTGTGTTATCTACACACCTCGCCCACCTCCTGCGGAGGGTTCCTTGTGCAGCCAAAACCTCGGCGGAAGGGTCCCCAGGTGAACGTAAACCTGTCCCACCACTATCCATTTTCCATCCCATAGCCCGGAAATGGTCATAACTGGCCGAATGGTTTTAATTAAAACAGTCTAAACAGCCTGCTAGCTCGGTCGGTCCATCCTAATAGCTCAGTCTATGCATCTTTATAGCTCAGGTGGTTAGGGCGCCTGCGCTTGGATCCACCTACCCCCAGCGGTCACACTGAAGGTCAGGTGACGTCAGAGGGCAGGACGGCCTGTGCCGAGCATTGCGACACGTGAAACTTTCGCCTGCCAAATTCTGCCATTGACCTGGAATTGCAAGATCGAATAGCAGGGGTCAGGGCTCACACGACAAGCATTGCTTAGTTTGAACTCTAATTCGAGAAATCCATTCATTCAAGAGGTTCAGATTAAATCTAGAAAAAACCTAAGCCGATATCGAGGCACGCAACCAGCAGTGGAATCAGACGTTAAGCCAACTACTCTATGTCATTAGGTCATTTGGTGCTGCATGACTGTAAAGAGGAAGGAATGAGGGTCCTTTCTTTTCTTGAGCATGAACATTTGTATTTTGATTCTATCATTGCTTCATTTTTCAGGGTTTCAGTGCGTTTGCATTTTTAGCTAATCAAGCAAGGTGTTTGCATGCCGTTCCTGTGACGTTAGGCGTACCTTGCGGGCTTTCCATGGGCGACGCGTCACATACTACACAAGTTTAGTGTATCAAGCCCAGAAGTAAGGGATTTGAAGCGCTAAAAAGGCCATGACAGTGAATGGCAGGGAACGATCGCACAGACGGGTTTCTCAGTTCAAACCCACATGCCAACGTGCATCAGTCCCATAAACACCACGGAAAATTACAGGCCAGTTGCTTTCACCAGTATGCTGGGCAAAGGACTGGAATCACCTGTTAGTTCATTTGGAAAATGACATCATCACCCACTGAAGATAAGTTAAGATTGTAGGAAATTATCTAACCGTTGATGTATCGATGGTCTCAAGGAAGCGATTAAGCCCTGCCAAGCTCTGAATAGGCGGGTATTCGAGCATGTTGTTGAAGGCAAGGACATTGATTGTCTCATTTATGACATGTCATTCAGCATACTTGTCAGGGTGGGTGTACCTGTCTATATCGTCCAGTTATGAATGTTTCGGTAAACAAGGCAAGAGATGTGCGGCTCATGGGATCTGACCAGTGGCCTTTCTGAGCGATTGTGCTGTTCACAGTGGCATCGGTCTCGTTTGTGGGCTGTTTGTTTTCGATCATGAGCATGAAGCACTACGTAATGTGATGAGCAGTGGGGCGTAAGAACGTACCACAAGGTATGACATCAAAAGTTATCAAAAACGCTTAAGTTGAAAAAGTCCAGCAGAAACCTGATTCCAAATATATTATAGCTAGCAGGCTGGTCGATGTGATCAGGTGATGGCTGATGGCTAATGCAGAGTTTTTGCTTTGTTTGTTATGAATGAGCACATAATATCCTAGAATTAGAATGTGACGAATAAGATAGTTAAGGGTGTGATGCAAAAGTATTATAGGTAAAGCAAATTCAATAACCAACCGAAATATCACATACGACTTCGGCGACAACTGAGCGTAAAAATTCATCGGCGCATATCAGACTGCTGCTCTAAGGCCAAAGCACCAAGACCAACAGCGATGAAATCTGAGCGATCATGGGTGCCGCGGCAGGCACGACAAAGAAGTTTTCGTCAACTAGTATGGGGTCCTCAAAGCAAGCGAAAATAACGCAATACCAACGTGATGGACCCCTGAACGATCTGGAGTGCCCTAACAGGCTGACAGATAGGACCCCAGCCAGAGCAAAGGGGCCAGTGTGCGCGCGCACCCAAGCTCAGTGTGTGTGAATTAACGCCCTGCGCGATTAGGGGCGCCCAGCGAGGTTAACGGAAAGGACCACGATGGGAGCTAAATGGTCCTCCGCAAATGAGATCAAAGGCAAAGAGTCCGAGATCAATGTAGAGGGCCCCTGGGCATCGAGTGTCTCGGTGTCTTACCTTACAAGATCCCCAGCAACAGCACAAGGCCCTCCGAGAAAGTGGAAAGAATCCTGGACCAATATGAAGAGCATCTGAGTAACTGAGCGTAACGCGGCATATGGGGTCCCCAACAAAAACGTATGAAGCCTGTCTGTCAAATGGGAAGAATACGTGGATCGAAGAATCT